CACGTCCACACAGTGTGAACTTTACACAAAAAAAGACTAACTTTGTAAAGCACCCACTTGATTAGGATCCTTCAACTGCTGAAGCCTGATATTAGCTTTGACTGAACTTTTCAATGAATTTGTATGCAGAATGAGGACAGTGGATTTTGGCTCATCTCTTACAGTTCAGCCGCTCCAGGAAGGTTCATACAAAGAGGAAGATGCAACCAATAACCTTTTAAACATGCGTGTCGTCATGTGGTCGTTGCATTAAGTCAGACCTTTGTGCTACACTACCATTCAAAAGTTTAGAAACACTTTCCCATTTAATTTGTGGAAGTGTGTCCAAGCTTTCCACTGGTAGTGTACGTTGAAGACAGTTTGCCAATATACAAGCCATATACTTTTAATGTATTAAAAACCTTTGTAAAATCAGTGCTGTAATGGCAATGCAATAATTTATCACTTTTCAAATGAAAGGTTCACAGGCCAAGTTATCATATAAAACCAATTATAATTCTTATCAACTGACAATATTTAATAATTTTCGGCGGCTTGTGGCAGTGAAACATGCGAACACAACATTGACATATTATAATGTCACTATGGTAACAGTTTTTTATTTGTACATCCAGCAGACTCTTAGAAACATTAGCATTTATTTGGGGTTATTTGGAGTCTATTTGTCTTTGGCCACACAGCACAGCTGTTTAGTTGCTAAAGGCTAAAGTTAGTTGCTAACTTTGTCTGCCTTGTGGTGCCAGGCAGGCAGCATACAGTGAGGTAATACGGCCCTTGTGGTGAAAAACAGCTGCCTGTGGGCCATAAAACCAAAACAACATGCTAAAATCAACTACAGTAAAATGCTCAGAAGAGCTGGGGGACAACTGTTCTTCTCACTTGTTGGTCTTTATTTTGAGGTCTCTGCCTTTTTGAAGCTCATGTCCATCTTTGTACCAGCGGAAGGAAGGGCTGGGATTCCCTGACGCCTCACATTTCAAGTACAGCTTGTCCCCTTCCATCAGAGACTGGTCCCGCATCGGCCGCAGCTTAGGAGCAGAGGCTGGACAGAGACAGAGACAGAGACAGAGGGGGAGGGGAATGACAGAAAGAAAGAGAGAGAAGGGAAGGGAGCAGAGACAAAAAGCAAAGCTTGCATTACTGAAATTAACTACAGGCTTTCAATTAATCTATCCATTTAATTGCGTGAGTGTGTGTGTGTCTTTGTGCATACACTATGTGTCTATGAGTTTGTGTGCATGTGTGTGGCTGATGAAAATCTGTTCATGTTGGTTCAGGTGTCAGGGTCAAAAACCTGAGTCATCATGTCAGAGTTCACATGAAAGCTGGTTAAAGAAGGGAGGAAAATCACTGTCATTTAACACGATACACACACACACACAACAAAAGCACTGAGGTACGATTTGAATCCTGTAAAGCAACGACAAACTAAACACTTAGAGGGAAACAAAATCTTGCCTCAGAAACTCTGCAGTGGATTTTCACTGTGGAGCGATGTGTGTGTGTGTGTGTGTGTGTGTGTGTGTGTGCATGTGCCTCATCAGTCTCAGGAGAGTTTCGCTCTCTCTCTTCTGTCTTTAAAAACTACAACAGACTGCATCACTGACACCAGCACCGGCAACACAAGCACACAGAAGCTAAAGCAAAGAGACAACTCAGCACCATCTAGTACCATTAACACACACACACACACAGCCAATAAAACAGGGTGCACAGCTTTAAACAGATGTCTGTGTGCAAAATGTGGGCCTAACACACACGTGGGTCTACGTGCATACACACACACTGTGTTGTAGTGATGGGGCATTCTTGATTAACTACAAGGCAACTGTTGTATCAGCCCACTGCTGCATCTACTCGTGTGCAGTATGTGCAGGTGATACTGTATGTAGAGCTCTTGCAGTTATATAAGACACTGTACTGTATGTCTGGGCACCTGTATATGTCTCATAAATCGTCTGCTACCAATCCTGTGAAAACCTCATGACTCATGTCTTTTAGTTCAGTACCAATTTTATTTGCAGGACCTCATGGCCATCTACGTCGTCCTCTCATACATAACAACATAAAGGTAGAATTTTAACTGAACTTGGGAAAATTAGCCAAAGAAAATGAATGCATGCTTCCGTCCACTGCTGCAGTAGGAGTTAGTCTATCAAGGTAAACGGGCTGTTGGCACAAATTTTAAGCTAAGGTGCCATTAAACCACTGCAGAAAAGCTATAAAAGACATTTAGAAAACATGATAAAAATATTACATTTCTGTTTGTTTCACGTGTTAATTTGAGGAATGTTAATAACATAGTCTTCTTACTGCTGCACACAAATTTGTTTTGGTTTTTTCTGATCTTTTAAGTCAATTCACAGTGCTTCACTTTGGAGGTCATTCACATCTCTTCTACTCATTCACCAATCATTATTTTTATGTTAACAACTGATCAAACGACTATGTGTAAGGTGGAGGGTGTCACCTGAAGTGTCAAACCCACGGAGATTACAAAGAGCAGTTGGAGTTGGTGAAGATAAAAAATAAAAGAAGCTAAAAGAAGAGAGAATATTGGACTGGCATTTGTCATGTGGCCGGAAACATGACTCAAAATGGATGCTAATGTTTCACCATGTCTCCCAGATGTGTTTGGTAATGTGCTTGCCATGGCTGCACAGCTTTATTTTGTGATGATAAATAAAGAAAATAAAACACGAAATCAATTAGTGCTGATTTGAAAAAAGAACAAACTAGATATTATATGGAGATAATAACAATCATTTGAAGTTCAGGAGCAGGACCTCACCCAAACTACGTCTCTTCCTTTTCCACATTATTTACGGTAAACTCTCTGTCCCTACATACAATACTTTTGCTTCCGCTTTTCGTTACCCACTCACGATTTCTCTCCCT